AATATTAAATAATAATTCTTTGTAATTCGATTCGATTGTCACGACTTGTCTTTGTCTATGTTTTGAGTTGGTTTTATCTAATTAATTCTTGATGTCGCTTTTTCATGATTAATTTGTTTTGCGATGCTTTGTTGTGATTGTTTTGTGAATTTTATTTGCGATGCTTTGCTGTGTTTCTTTATCTGTTAATTACACGATGCTTTGTCGTGTCTGTTATTGATTTTACTTGCGGTTGATTACCATGATATTTTTCCATGCGTATTCTGTGCTATTTTGTCTGGCTGATTATACATGATGTTTTTCCGTGTACTGTATCTGTGACTTGTCTGCTTGCTGATTTCATGATATTTTTCCATGTTATCTGCTACTTTCTGTTCCTTGTTAACCTAATCCAATGGGAGGGACTGTATGTTGACTTATTGTCATTGTGTGTATCCCTTGTTTATTCTTTAATTGTCTTTGTTGTTCTTGGTTCTTAGAACTTGGCAACTCGTAGTTCCACGTACTACGGACGCTTTGATTTCTCAAGTTCCTTTTGAGAATACGTAGGCACAAGGTCACGATCCTTAGCGAGCAACCTTTTCTTTTTTCCATACTCTTTTCCGTTTTTACACCCTTTTCCATCGTAGTTTTTGAACTACGATTGCTCTGACTTCCTATTAAAGATACGTAGGCATAGAATTGTGAGATCCTAGCGAGCTACCTTTTTATTTTTCTACTTTTTTCTTTTTCCACCTTTTCTCTATCTTACCCATCCTTACCTTAGCAAACAATTTTAGCAATAACACAAATATTTCAAGAGGTTCCTGTAGAGTACTACAGATGCTTAGGGTGCTAGTACCTTCCTTTAGTATAACCAACCCCAGTACTTTTGATCTCTCTTTTGCTTAGTTTTAGGCCTTGATTTTTGCTTTGCATTTTTATTTATGGGTTATTCTTTCTTTTCCCCTTCCCTTGGATAAATTAAAGATCGGTGGAGATATTTTATGATTTGTGATTCAAGTTAATACAATAGCTTGATATCTGATTCTCACCGCGACAATCATATTAATATCCCTTTATTAGGCAGTAATTTTACTTGTTACCACCTTAATAGAAGGGCGACAAGTAGGTTGAATAGAATCTTTATGTATGATGGTTAATGGGAGTTGAGGGGTGGCCTCTCAGTGGATCTTATCTAGTGGTGTTTCATATCATTACCTGACCATTTTCAAGTATTATAATTAGTTATGGAGTCTCAAGCCTTTTAGGCTCAACAATACTGGCTTGCTCATGGCGATTTTGATGAAGCGGTCCTTGTTAGCAAAAATGGATCCTTATCATCTAGATTAAAAGCTTTTGTTCTGAAATAGAAGCTCCAATATCTCAAAGGGGTTTTGATAGTATGAAATAAAAATGTGTGTTGTAAATCTTGATTACCAAATAAATTCTCTAAGAAATGAAGTGTGATTTTTATGGACATTAGGCTTGGCCATGTGTTATTTCCCATGAGAAAATTATGAATATGATGTGGGCCAGTGTGGGTCTTTGGTTCTTTTTAAGGATCAAAGATTCCCACTGCTTTCAGAGGTTCAAAGCTATATGGTTGAATAAGGGAGATTCTTACACATATTTTTTTCATGCATGTCTGAAGGGTATGAGAAATGTTATCTTAGTGCTTAAAGTTGGTGATTTTTTTGGGAATAATGGGTTTTATAGATCCATTAGGATATGGTTAGTTTCTTCATTAATCATTCTAGGGAATCTACTACTAATCGGCTTCAATTGGATGGGGTTGATTCCCCCCCCCCCCCTCTCTCTCTCTCTCTCTCTCTCTGATAAGGATTATATAGCTTTTACACCCCATTTTCTTCTTTCTGAGATTGATATGGCGACTACTCAGCATGATACTAATAAGATTTCTGGATCGGGTGAGTTTAATTTATCTTTCTTGAGAAGGATTTTGCAACTTCTTATTGAGAATGTGGGCATTATGTTTGACCAGTTCCATTGTTTTGCAACATCTTATTGAGAGCATGGGTATTAATGAGTTTATCTTCCTATTTTGTCACCTTTGTTCCAAAAGGTCTAAACTCCCAACCAACTGAGTGACTGTTAGAATATTTCTTTGATGGGTTCTCTTTATAAGATTATTTCTAAAGTGCTCATATGTAGGCTAGCTGAGGTTATGGGCAAACTCATTTCCTTAAGTAGATTGGATTTTCTTAAAGGTGGTAATTACAAATGAGCTACTGGATTCGAAAAAGAAATCCAAAAAGGTTTATCTCATTTTTAAAGTGGAATTTGAATATGCGTATGATTAGGTCAGTTGGAGTTTTCTTCATTGTATATTTCTCAGGTTCAAGTTTAACTCTAAGTGGAGATCTTGGACGCCTACTTGTTTCTTTTTCTTCTAGAAATATTGCAGTCTTGGTAAATTATTATCCGACCAAAGAAATTAGCAAAGGGGGTTGAAGCAAGGCGACCCCCTCGCTCGGTTCCTCTTATTTCTTATTGATGGATGGCCTTATTGGTTTGATTCTAGGGCTATAAACCTAAATCTCTTCTATATATTTTGAGTTAGCTCCTCAAATTTGAAAGTCTCTCATCTTAAATATACAAATTACACAATTATCTTACCAGATGATTTGATGGACAACCTTTGGGCGATTAATTCCATTCTTCGAGATTTTGAATTGTCTTTGGGTTAACTTTGCAAAGAGTAGTCTCTTTAGGTTTAATGTGGATCTTGTATTTTTGGAGTTAGTTGATTTTCTCAATTATAAGAAAAAGACTCTTCCATTCAAGTATTTTGGGTTACAAAAGAATTCCAACCCTCGACTTGAGTCTATGTGGAAACCTCTAGTTAGCTTTTTTTTATACGGTAGAACTCTTGGAGACATAGGTATGTTATCCTGGGGACGGATGATCTTACTCTACTTTGTCTTTAATATTATCTCTATTTTATTCTTTTCCTTTGCTAAGATGCATGTCAAAGTTTGAAAGATGTTTTTTAGGACCCAAAGGAGGTTTCTCAAGAGTAAGACAACAAGGGATTATAAGATCTCTTATGTTAAGTGTATGATGTTTTTAAGGCTAAGCTTAAAGGTAGTCTGGGTGTCAGCAATATTCATATGATGAACTTGGAATTCTTGTCCGAATGAAGGTGGCGTCTTATCTTGGGTGCATTTAGCCTTTGACAAGATATCTTATCTTCCAGATACATTGTCCTTTATGTTGCCACTTTCTTAGGAGTTAGGTCTGATGGCTTTTGTTATGTGTCTTCTTGGTGGAAAACAGTGTACCTTATTGGTTTTAAAGCTGAGTATTCTTATGATTAGTTTATGGCCAATCTTAGTAAAATAAAGTATGATATGACCTTCTTACCTCCTTTCAGGAAGATTCTTGGGCAAAACTCGTTCCTCTTAAAGTCAAGTTCCTTAGGTTCCTTAGTACCTCCATTCAGCAAGACTGGTCTGTTAGTCAAGTTAGAGTGTATGTGGATGAAAATTTGGCTTCAGATTTGAGTGATTTCCCAAATCTCTAATAGGTAGTGGTTACACCCTTCTAAGAATGACATTTTTATGTAGCCTTTGATTACTTGGCCCTTCTTGAATGTGATATTCATAGTGAATTCATAACCAATCTTGTGGACTTAGTCATTCTTCACATCTAGGATTCTTAAGCACCTTTTAAAGTGATTGTAATTTCCTTACAACTACTTCAAGTTAAGGTTCATATACTAGAGAAAATATGTTTAAGAGAACGATGTTAGTGGACCTAGAGGGTCTTTCGTGTATGTTGTGTAGATGGTCGATCGAGTCAAATTCTCATTTATTTATGATGCGTGAGTTGGCTTCATTTGTCTTGTATATAATTTTTAGGTGGTTGAGGTGGTAATTAGTTCTTATTAAGAATCTTTCGACTCATTTTTAGGTGTTTAGGTCGTTGAGAGTCATGTATAGGATTATGGGTGGCCTTTCTATGGTCCAGCATTAAGAGTGTGCTTAGTGTGGATGTTGCAAAATGATATTATATTTTAAGGTTCCTCAGATACTGTGAAGGATGTGAAAGATAAGAGCATTTTTCTTGTTTAAAAATGATATCTTAGTAGGTCTGCGACCAACTCTTGTGTTTTATTTGTGACTTGAGAACCATATTTTTTGGTCTGAGGCAATAAAGAATTTAGAGTCTCTGATCTAACAATGATGAGTTCTTAGTGGTTTTTCTAAAATATTTATTTATATTAATTATGATTCCTTTGGCTCGAGATTTAACCTCTTTTTATCATAGGTATGGTTTTGTTTGATGTTTATCTGTGAGCTTTTCTCTTTTTTTAATCGGTTGTTTAGTATTCATCTAATTTTTAAATTAGAATACCTCTTTAGATTACTTGTCTTCCTTTTTATTCTTGTATTATAATTTTGTATCATTGGTGTGATACTTCTTGGGTCTATCTTAGCTTTCTTCGTATAGTTTAGGATCTTTACCAGTTTTTTTATATGTATGAATTAGAATACCTCTTTAGATTACTTGTCTTCCTATTTATTCTTGTATTATAATTTTGTATCATTTGTGTGATACTTCTTGCGTCTATCTTAATTATTTTTTTTGTATAATATAATGTGTGTGTGTGAGAAAAAATATAAAAAGGAAATATATCTAACTTAAAAAATAAATTTATAATAATCAATAATCATTTCGATATTTTAGAGTGTTCCACAAGTATCAAAAGTGCCACAATTCATTCATGTAAAGTACAAAGTAAGAAATAATATAAATACAAAACCGTCATCCATGATTCATAAAAGAAAATCCATGATATGATATGAATTTCTTAATTAATTAATACTATAGTATAAATTTTACGTCATGGGCTGCTATTCTTCTTTCTATCTTCCTTTCCTACTCTCAACCTCATCTCATATACTATAAATAACACAAAACAAATCATATTTCACAACACACAAAAAATCAAAACCATTAGAGTAAGAAAAAACACAAACAACCGAAAACCAAAAATGCAAAAAGAACAAGAAAATGAAGAGAGTGTAATGGACTCGTTCTTGTGTCCAAGTTTCAGCACTTACTCTTCTAACAACCTAAACGACGTCGCTCGACAGGTTATTAACGAAAACGACCAAATACACTCCCAAAACGACAAAGACGATTTCGAATTCGTTGCGTTTCAAAAAACTGCTGATGAGGTTTTCTTCGATCACGGCCGCCGCAATTCGATTCGTGGTGTTTTTCCGATCTTCAATAGCGAGGACGGAAAGAGAAGTTCTGTTGTGGTGGAGATTTCAGTTCCGTTACGGGAATTGATGAATTCCGACGGCGACAGAAGGAATTCCGACGTGGCAGAAGATTCAATTCCGTTAAAGAAATTGAATAATCGCGACGGCGACCGAAGGAATTCCAATTCGGTGGATATTCTGAATCCGTTACAGAAATTAATTACCGGAGATCAGAAGTGGAATATTTATCCTTCGTCAGAGGTTGAGGACGATCTTGATGCTGCTCCGCCGGCGTCGTATTGTTTGTGGATGCCTAAATCTCCGAAGGTATCGCCGATTGCTTCTCCTATCAACTGCAAGAAAAGTAATTCAACTGGTTCAACCTTGAATCCTTCGTCATCAAAGCGATGGAAGTGTCTGAGCTTACTCAGGCGAAGTAAAAGCGAACGAAAAGAATCATTGATTCTCGTAACTCCGTCATTAGAGTTTAAGAAGGAAGCGAAAGTAGAGAATCCGAAGGTGAAAAGCGGTGGAAAAGGAAACGTAGAGAAAAACAAAGCGAAAATTGCCGAAACAAAGGTTCCGGTAACGGAGACGAAAATCCAGGCACGGGTAACGGCAATGGAAGCGTTTTATCTAAGAAAGAAAGAGATTAATAGAAAATCATATTTACCGTATAATCAAGAGTTAATTGGCTTTGGTGTTGGTTTTAATGCTACTATTGGAAGAGGTTTTCCTCTTCGTGTTTAATTAATTTTACTCAAATTTTAACTATTTTTAGTCAAAAGAAAAAGACTAGGTATAATTTTCTTACATAATTAAGTTTTGGTGTAGGTAAAAGTGAAAAAGAAAAGTATATTTGGATAGTCTTTGATGTAAGATTTTACATAGTGAAGTATAATGTTTTTGTAATTATTTGAATCATGACTCTAGGAAAATTTGTGATAATATTTGTGGATAGTGATGTATTTGTCGGGGTATGTGAGAAAGTGAGAAAATGAGAAAGATATCAATCACCACTTTCTAGTCAAGGGTATTTTCTTTTCCTTAAGCCAAAAATATATCATTAATTTTAATATATATATATATATATATATATATATATATATATATATATATATATATATATATATATATATATATATATATATATATATATATATATATATATATATATATATATATATATATATATATATCATATTAAAATTAGAAATGGAGTGAGTATCAGAAGTAATAGCGCATTATTTATAATAGTAGAGATGAAATAATAAAATTGCTATCAGTTAGGTGTGAATGACACTTAGGTGTGAATGAGAGAGATCTAATAGATGTACTTGAAGTTTGGATCTTGTGTGCTCATCATCAGGATGGTTCTCGTGTGTTGAAGAGCTTTTGAAAAGATTGTAATTCCTTTAAAGTGGTTGGTCGGGGTCGATGTGGTCAGTCTAGATTTGTTGCCTCCTATGTCCTTGCTTCTGTACAACAAAGCGAGGATTTGTCATACTAGCATCGATTGCTGATCGCTTTATCATTTGTCTTGGGAGAGCAAAATTGGATGTTTCAATTTCTTGGAAATTCACGCTTTCAATGATTCATACTTCAAACGTATTTTTGGAGGTTTCCTTATTATGACTCTTGTGAACTAAAACACTTGAGTGTTGTGCGAGTGATTTGACATGTTTAATAGGGTATACTTACTTTGCATACCAGCGTACGATTCTTAAAGAGTTGGCGTTGCATTTCTTTGAGTTATTTTTCTAGTTTGTAGTAATCTTTCTTCTCTTTGATATTTTGCTTCTCTGTATCTAGAAAAGTTTGTGCTTTATGGGTAATAAAATCACATAAGGGTGCTAACAAATCCCAGAAGAATGTTTAATCTTTGCAGGTGGATTATGTATACTCTTCCACCGTTTTTGTTTTTTTTAAGAGATTGCAATCTTTAAGGAATCTTTCTTGAAGTTGGTCCATCTTCAGATTGGGGTGTCTTGGCCCTAATGAGAATGAAAGAATATGCAATGAGTATGTCGATTATAACCTTCCTTTTTACGAACGCACCTTCTAGGTTATGGATCTTTGCATGCCTTTTACTTCTTTTGAGACAATGGTTTTGAAGCATCTGGTGATGACTTTGTCGCAACTTCATCCAACAAGCTTGGCGTAAATGAAAGTCTTCATGTACTAGTGTGAATACTTAAAGGGGAAACATTCTCTAACCGTCTTCTTTGTTCAATTCAAATGGCATCGTGTTTATGCAACTCGGACGAGGAGTAGAGGATTATTTTTTTCTAATGATGATCTTTCAAGATTTTGGCCATTTTTCTGAGTTGCAGCCTTTTGAAGACCGGTTCTTTCTAGTTACCCTATCGGTCCAAAAGCTCATGCGACAATTTGTACTATTGAGGAAGAAGTGAAAGGCAAATATGATGAGATGTTCACCAAATGTTGGATTGAGAGCCACATTACTTTTAATCCAATGCAAAGTGGGAAGATGACATAAGACCTCTTGAATGGAAGGTTCTCTTGGAGGATGGTTACTGATTTTGAATGATTTAAGCAAGCTAAAATCATGAATTAAGGATGAAGAGCAAAGAGTTGTCAAGTTACCGGCTAATAATATGGAAAAAGATAACATAGAGGTTGCACCATTCCAACTAATTATCTTATTGTTAAATCTAATATGGTTTCAAGCATACCATATGGTATTCACCATGTCTATAATAGCTGGTTTGTAAAAAAGAAGACATTGCGATGAGCTCTGATTATTAAAGATTTTCCACATGTCCAAAATTTAAATGATTTGTCAATGAACACTAAGTTTGTGACCAGGCCAATACCAATACTTGAAGAATAGTCACAGTCCCAAAAAAGATGCCTAGAGATTTCTTCATGTCTAAGACACAAGGATAAGAAAGAAGAAAGATAATAACCCCTGAGCTTCAGGTTTTCATATGTGGCCAGCTTGTCATGAATAAGTCGCCAGAGAATGATTGAGTTTGAGGGAGGAATGTTCTTGCACGACACATGTTTGGACCAGACATTGATTGTTCCATTTTATCTTTTGAAGTTTTATGCCTCTTTTAAAGATATGTCACCATTATCCAAACTAGACCATACCATTTGATCAGGTTGATTGCTCAGAGATTACAATATGACCCACCAAATTGTGTATGTCTGGGAAGAAATTGAGGGTTTCTTAAGGAAAACTATGCACCTTATTCACCAAGTTATCTCCAACCTTATCATGGATGAGGTGTTGCAATTTAGAGAGAATGGTAAGAAATTGATCAATAGCTTGTAGGCTAAGCCATTTGTCATTCAAAAAGTTGATCTTTGAATTTGATCCACTCACCAGGCAAGAGTTCTCTAGTACCACTAAAATTGTTATTTGATTATGCTCCATAGAGAATATTGAATATGATTAATGATACATTTGTTTGTTCTAATGAACTTGCTTCTAAGAATGTAGACACAGTCCTCATATAATTGCAAAAGTTTCCAACATAGCACCAAGTTTGAAGCCTCATTTAAAGCAGTTAGGAATCTAAGTCCCACCCCTCCCTCACAGTAAGGCCTACATATTTTCTTCCATGACACAGTTGTGGATTAATGTGCTTACAGGTTCAAGCTCATGATCCTGCAGGGAAGCATCCTAATTATATACATCGTGATTTATTAATATTTATCAACTTATTCTTCACCTACTCAAGGACATTAGAACAGAGTCGAACATTATGGCGTTACTTTTGAGATTCTCATAATGGTATATCACAGACATGTTACTTGTTTACTAGTGGTGGTATAACTATTTCACAGAGATATGTGAAATAACCCATATCAGAAACTTCCTCAAATAATGCAAAAAATTTAGCATTACATGAAGTCACTCTCAAGTAAAACTTTTAACCAACTAGTACTAAATATTGATCTTCATCATCGAAGAAATGATTATTCAGTTGAGAGGGAGAAATAAGTTTATCTTAAAAAGATATTGTACTCTTTTTCCTTCACTAGATTTCTAGTAAGGTTTCAATGAGACATATCCTCAATGAACATCCAAGGAAGAGTGTTATGAAATAATCGAGTTCAATGTCATTGTCCATTTGTTCCCCAATAAACTCCTTATATTAAATGTATATAAATTTCCTTAATGTGTATTGATCTTATTGTCTACTATTTATATCCGAGACCTATATTACTATGTAAAAATACACTAGAGAATAATATAATACAAATTATATTATTTTATCTCTAAACTTTGTTCATATATATATATATATATATATATATATATATATATATATATATATATATATATATATATATATATATATATATATATATATATATATATATATATATATATATATATATATATATATATATATATATATATATATATATATAATATATATATATATATATATATATATATATAGACACACACACACACACACACACACACGCACACACACACACACGCACTATACACACAGTGCATTCAAATGTCAAGTAAATATTGTTGCTCCTTTGGTTGGCTGTAACACCCAACTTTTCGACTCGATAAATAATTAAATAAAATATGCATAACACATATCTTCCACGTGGGATGCTACTCAACATCAATAAAACATGCATGAACCCCATGATAATAAACCTTGATTCATTTGATAAGCGGCGAACATATGAAATAGTTGGCATAAAAAGCCTTACAATAATAAGTTTGCAAAAAAGTGGTTCAATATCCAATTAGAGAAAACAATATGCAACATAAGAAAATAAATAAAAGAACAGTTTGTCCCCTCATGTTACATATCATAGCGACTTCAACTATAAGACTTATTCGACATGCAACTAAAGAGGCATAACACCGTCCTCAGCCTCAAGTTTCTACCCAGGTACTTGATTACCTGTACTTCAGAGGAGCAGAGATGCAGTAACACAAAAAGGGAGTGAGAATACATTTAAATAATAAATGGTGCACAAAACAATGAGAATAGATTCACACATCATAAACTATACAAATATCAAATATGCGCCACAATATCATGTATTCACATTTCACCCAGATCACAATCATACTTACAATTCCATACAAGAGCATTCAACAACGTTCAAACATCTCATTTGCACAAATTTTATGTAATGCAATGCAACATCGACTCAAATCATGGATGTGGTATCGACTTAAAATTTGGTTTTTCATACGAACCAGATTTCAATCAACTGCGAAGCACGAGCCCCCACTTTGAGCTTGGGACAAGTCACTAGTCCCTATTCTGAACTAGCAAACATGCCTCTTTCACAACAACGACAACATATGATGTATGGCATATCACAATACAATGACAAAAATACCAAATGAATACATCCTCACTCTGGTTGTAAACAATCATAGAAGCACAACAACATAGCAATGAATACATCCTCACTCTGACTGTAAACAATCATGAATTAAATGCATCACCGATAGTTCTCACTCGAACTACTCATTTCATCAATTGCCACCAAACATGTACAATAAATCACGTAATTAAACTTGTATTTCACAACAACAATACCATATCAAATATGTATCCACACACAACACTCAATCATGTTAGATCATCTTAACACTAATTCATCATTAAGAATGTACAATAATTTGCACAATTATTCATATATTCACACGTTTAACATATACTCACACATCATTAAAACAAGTCAATTCATCTCACAAGGCACTACCGTAATGTATCTTTGTGCATTAG